GCATGAGATCAGAAACTGACATCAGGATCAGTGAAGCATATAGAACTCCAAACAGTCATAACCAAAATAAAACTACACCCAGACATATAATAGTCACCATCCCGGAAATCCAACACAAGAATAGATTATTAAAAGCTGTCAGAGAGAAAAGACAAATCACTTATAAAGGAAAACCTATCAGAATCACAGCAGACTTCTCAGCACAAACGATAAAGTCAAGAAGAGCATGGAGTGAAGTATTCCAGATCCTAAAGCAAAATGATTTCCAACCAAGACTGATATATCCTGCAAAACTATCATTCAAAATAGATGGTGCAATACGATACTTCCATGACAAAGAACAGCTGAAGAACTTCATGAACACCAAACCAACCCTGCAAAAAATATTGAAAGACAGTTTAGAAACACAAAGGAAAAAACCACTAAGCAAAGCAAATAATTAAGCAGAACAGAAAGATAAAGATGCAACAGCAGAGAGATAACATTCCTACAATTAACCAGCATTTAACAGTAATAACCATTAATGTAAATGGTCTCAATGCACCAATCAAAAGAAACAGACTAGCAGAATGGATCAAGAAACAAAATCCAACCATATGCTGTTTACAGGAAACCCATCTAACCCAGAAAGATACTCACAGACTGAAAGTCAAAGGATGGAAAACAATTCTTCATGCAGCAGGAATCCAAAAAAGGCAGGAGTAGCCATTCTGTTTGCAGACAACGTGAACTTTAAACCAACAATGACCATAAAGGACAAAGAAGGTCACTACATACTCGTAAGGGGAAAACTCCAAGAGGAAGAGATAACTATCTTAAATATATACGCACCAAACTCCAGAGCACCCAGTTATATAAAACAATTATTAACAGAAATGAAAACTCAAATTATCAGTAAAACAATTGTAACAGGAGACCTTAATACACCACTGACACCAAGGGACAGATCAACCAGACAGAAAATGAGCAAAGAAATAACAGAACTGAATCACACCTGTGAACAAATGGGTTTGATAGACATATACAGAATGTTCCACCCAACAACATCAGAATACACATTCTTCTCAGCAGTACATGGATCATTTTCTAAAATAGACCATATATTAGCTCACAGAACATATTTAAGCAAATGCAAAAGAGTTGAAATCATCCCTTGCATATTATCGGATCATAGCGCTCTGAAATTAGAAATTAATGACAAAGGATACTGCAAAAATTCCGCAAACACATGGAAACTAAATAACACACTCTTGAGTAATCAGTGGGTCACAGAAGAAATTAAAGAAGAAATTAAACAATACCTAAAAGAAAATGAAAATGCAGATACAACTTACCGGAATCTGTGGGATGCAATGAAAGCCGTTCTGAGGGGAAAACTTATTGCACTGAGTTCCCACATCAGGAAAACAGAACGAATACCAATAAATAACTTGATGCTACACCTCAAACAGCTAGAAAAAGAAGAGCAAGTCAAGCCCAAAGCCAAAAGAAGAGAGGAAATTATAAAAATCAGAGCAGAAATCAATGCAATAGAGACTAAGAAAACAATCCAAAGAATCAACGAATCAAAGAGTTGGTTCTTTGAAAGAATAAATAAAATCGATAAGCAAAAAAATGAAATATTTAGGAATTACTCTTACGAAAGAAGTGAAAGACTTATACAGTGAAAATTATAATACACTGAAAAAGGAAATTGAAGATGATCTCAGAAAATGGAAAGACATCCCTTGCTCATGGATAGGAAGAACAAACATTGTGAAAATGGCCATTCTCCCAAAACTGTTATACAGATTCAATGCAATCCCAATAGAAATACCATCAACATACCTTATAGATCTAGAGAAATCACTCCTAAATTTCATCTGGAACCAGAAGACACCTAGAATCGCAAAGGCAATTCTAAGCAGCAAAGACAAAGCAGGAGGCATCACAATCCCTGACTTGAAGTTATACTACAAAGCAACAGTAGTAAAATCAACATGGTATTGGAATCAAAACAGAGCCAAAGATCAGTGGAATAGATTAGAAGATACAACCACAACTACGAACACACTCAACCACCTTATTTTTGATAAAGGAGCCAAGCAGGTTCACTGGAAGAACGACAGTCTCTTTAATAAATGGTGCTGGAAAAACTGGCTCTCCATTTGCCGAAAACTAAAGCTAGACCCATGTCTCTCACCAGGTACTAAATTAAAATCTAAATGGGTCAAAGATCTGAATAATAAAACAGAAACACTAAATCTATTGGAAGACAAAATAGGTAGAAACCTTGGAGACATAGGAGTAGGTAAAGAATTCATGAACAGGACTCAAACCACACGGGAAATACTTCCCAGAATCAATAACTGGGACCACTTCTTATTAAAAAGTTTCTGCATGTCAAAAGAAACCTCCAGCATAGTGAAAAGAAAACCCACAAACTGGGAAAAGATTTTAGTGAACTCTCTCTCAGACAAGGGCCTCTTGTCTAAAACATATAAAGAATTAAAGAAACTCAGACCTCCGAAATTCAAAGATCCAATCCAAAAATGGGCATCTGAGATGAATATGCAATTCTCAGATGAAGAAATGCAAATGGCAAATAAATACATGAAAAAATGCTCATCATCATTGGTCATTAGAGAAATGCAAATTAAAACCACACTGAGATACCATCTCACTCCTGAAAGAATGGCCAGGATCAAGAAAACCGACAACAAATGCTGGAGAGGCTGTGGGGAAAAAGGAACTCTCCTGCACTGCTGGTGGGAGTGTAGACTGGTACAGCCTTTGTGGAGATCTGTCTGGAGATTTCTCAAAAAGTTGGGACTGGAAATCCCATTTATTCCAGCTATTCCACTTCTAGGCATATTCCCAGAAGAACTGAAAGCATCATACCACAGTGATATATGTGCACCTATGTTTATAGCAGCACAATTTGTAATCGCCAGATCTTGGAAACAACCCAAGTGCCCATCAACTGAGGAATGGATAAAAAAGTTGTGGTATTTCTATACAATGGAGTATTATTCAGCTATAAAGAAGGATCACATTGAGATATTTATCAATAAATGGGCGCAGCTTGAGACCATACTCATAAGTGAAATAAATCAATCTCGCATGTGTGAATACCGAATAGTTTCCCTAATGTAAGTAATGATTCAAATATATAAAAATATGTGGTAATCATGATTCCCCATTAGGTGGCCTTGAAGCCTTATAAAGTTTTCACTCATTAATTAGAAAGGCTTTATTCTGGGCTTCTTGATATGAAAATATTTGAAGCTAGAGTATATGAAGTTTTACCCAAATATTTCAAGGAAAAAGACACTATGGTAACTACTATTAAGTCAGGTTATAAGGTGGTGAAGTACTAGGTTATTGAAACAGTCATGCTGTGACCTCTATTGTTATATTGTTATGTCCTGTTTTATCTCAATCTCCCCCTTATTGTTTCAAAAAAAAATTATTTAGTCATTTCTTATGTTTGTCTTAATTAAAGAAAAAATTCAAAAAAATTAGGATATATAAATAGTAACTCTTTTCGATTTCCTATTAACTTGTTTTGAAGTCCTGTAGTACTCCCACGATCTTGTTTTGACTGATTAGACTCTGTTCCATTCTATATGATAGTATCAAGTTTGAAGACATAGGCAACTACTTTGAAGACAATAAGATTCACTAAGATACCCATTCTGGTTTGACTATTGTCTTCTTTGGACGTCCTGTAATGTTTACAACGCCTAAGTTTTATTGGTCTTGTTCTCTACTGTTTTGTCCAACTTTATAATATCTAATAAGACAGACAATTCTTTTTAAGGAAACAAGGGACAACGTTGATAACCATTGTTGATAAACTTGTACTCTGTTCTATACCATGTGCTACGTCTATCCTTGGTATTGACTGACAGCTTTGTTTTGCCATATTTGACTGTATTCTTCCCCCCCCCCAAAGAAAGTAATAAGCACTAAGGAGTAATAAAATCCAAGATGTGTAAATTTTGTTGTAAAAAAGAGAGGGAAAAAAAAAAAAAAAAGAAAAGGAGCTCTAACGGATATAACAGCAAGTGTGTTTGGGGGTGTTAAATAGCTGACTTTATCAATGTTTTTGGAACATTGAACACAGCTGTTTGCAGTCTCCCTGTTTGAATGGCCACCTTGTGTTCTTTGATACTGTGATTTGAGGAACTATTTTCAAGAAAATAGTGTGTAATCTACTAGCAGGTAATTTCTTACTGTTATGGTTTTTTGTTTTGTTTTGTTTTGTTTTGTTTTGTTTTGTAGTTCTGTATTGCGTGTACCCTTACGCCGCTTTGGTTTGTTTTGTGTTTTTCTCTTTTTCCTCTTAAATAAAAAAAAAAAAAAAAAAAAGTAATCTATTAACTGGTGATTTCTTACTGGGTGTTTTTTTTTTTTTTTTTTTGTACTTCCGTATTACTTGTACCCTTACACCGCTTTGCTTTGTTTTGTTTTGTTTTTTCTCTTTTTCCTTTTAAATAAAATTTTTTTTAAAAAGAACAGTAAATTCAATCCATAAAAGAAAAGAAAAATAAAAAAGAAATGTAAGACCATAAAAATAAAACAAATTCAAGATTAGTAACTGTGCTTTTCCATTCAAAAGGACAAAGGAACATAAAATGAAGGAGGCCCACACACTGTGATCTCTGCTGTCTGGAGGCTGAGGGAGGAGAACCACAAGTTCTAGACCTGCCTGCAACCTTGTGAGACTTTGTTTAAACTAAATTTATAAAATAAAATACAGGCCTAGAGTAGCAGCTTAGTGAGGAGTCCTGGGTTGAACCTACCATGGTCAGCAGGGAACCAGAGGTTTCTTTTTATTTTCTGTTAAAGGAGACTGGACTCAGGGTTTCCCACCTCCGGGGCAAGCTCTCCACCCGAGTCCCCAACCCTGGAGGTTTCTAAGGCTGTGTAATGCACGAGTTTTTAAGCTATGCTAGGCAGATATTTTTATTATGTAATTCAGGGAACACAGAAGGATGGGAGTTTCTTGCCTTTTTTTTTTTTTTTTTCAATTACTTGAGTCAAATTCCAGAGGAAGAAGCAGTGATTTTTGTCTCTAGGAACTTTGTGCGTACATTAGGGTCTGTGCTCCAACACCTAAGCAGTGCCGCCTCTGGGAACTGCTTGTCCTATGCCCTGCCTCCTCCACTCGCCGGCCCTTGGCCCTTGGAGCCCCTGCTTGCTGGTGTTGGGGGTCGCCCTGGGGTGCCCAGCCCCTGCTCCTGCCTGGCCTTTCCCAGCAGAGGTGTGGACAGATCCTGGTCCCTCTGCTTCCGGATCTTCCGCGCGGCCTCGGGATCCGAGGATTTCAGCCCCTGCTTTGTCATACTGTGAGCTGTTTTCCCATACCCTCTGGGGAACCCGAAACTCAGAAGCCTGAAGTGGACTTCCTGCTGCTGGGGCGTGGCCCTATCCCCAAGCCTGCCTGCCGGACTCTTTGCCTCCCAGACCGCGCCTTGCACAGTCCTTGCGCTGCCCCAAAGCCGCTGCTGTCCAGGAGTGTTTCTCCAGGTCTCCAAGCCCCCGCCTTCCGTAAGTAGCCCCTCGGTCGGTCCCGGGGTTCAGGGAGAAATCTTCATTCAGAACCCCAGGCAGGTAGGAAGCAGCTAGTCCCTGAGGACCGTAAGGGTGCCGGGGGCAATTTCCTGGAAACAGAGGAGAATGGGGCTGGGCAGTAATGGGGCCCCCGCTTTTCCAGTGATCCAGGCCGGGAGCTGATGCCTGGAAGGCCAAGCTCTGAGTCGTAGCCTCACTGAGCCAGCTCCAGAGTTGTGCTCTGGGGTGCTCTCTGTCCCTAGGGCGGGAAGGTGGCAACCCTGCTTTGCTGCTGGGGTTCTGACTGCTAGGCAGTGAGCTGGGTGCGCTGAGGTTCTGGGCTGGAGCAGGCAGCCTGGACCACACTTGGCTGAGCACCTGGCAGGCCAGAGGGCACAGGTGTCCATACTGTGCCACTCGGAGTGCTTGAAGTGTCTGCCCCTGAAGAGCTTCCCTCCTCCCTCCCCTCTGGGTGACACCAGGCTGGGAAACGAAACCAACTCAAGATCAGGAAAAGGAGCAGGCTGGCAGGGAGGCCTGAGGGGACTTCCTCTGGTTCCCAGACAGTGTGTGAATCAGAGAGCAAGGTAAAACATGTGATTTCATCACTATCTGCAATCTACAACCTAAATGAAGACTACAATGTGTGACACAGTTTTTGTTTTACCTAATGTCTTGGTTACATCTCTCTCCTTGCTGGGACAAAACCAACCCACACCCGAAATGAAGGAAGGAAAGGTTTATTAAGCTGTTTGTGGAGGTTTCAGTCGATATTCAGCTGGCTGCAAGGCAGGGTGGCATAGCATCCGGGCAATACTTCAAGGCAGCAACCAGAGCAAAAGGGAGCAAAACAAGTCTCCTCTTCTGCTTTGTATTGTAAGCAGACTTACAATCCCCTTCCAAAGCTGGTGTAGCACTCACAAACTCTCTGTGCCCTCCTCTTGAATAGGATGAGGATATTTAAGAAGGACTCTGGGCTCCCTGCTGAGTCTCTCAGTTAAACTTCTCAACTTGAATGTGTAATCTATTAACTGGTGATTTCTTACTGTTGTATTATTTGGTTTTTTGTTGTTGTCATTGTTTTTTTTGTTTGTTTGTTTGGTTTTTTTTTTTGTAGTTCAGTATTACTTGTACCCTTACACCACTTTGTTTTGTTTTTTCTCTTTTTCCTTTTAAATAAAATTAAAAAAAAAAAACTTTTCAACTTGACACAATATATCAACCACGACATCTAACTCCTTAAACATAGTTATTTTCATTAGTGCATATCTGTGGAATGGAATAATTACACTCTTTGTGAGGAGTTGGCACAAGTCCCTAATACCTCTTAATTTTTTTCACATCTTTCTCCCCCCCCATCTCCTGATCCTTTTTCCATAGTTTGAAGATCTCTCTCTTTCTCTCTCTCTCTCTCTCTCTCTCTCTCTCTCTCTCTCTCTCTCTTCTCCTCTGTATTTCCTATTATGTATCTTTTCTGTTGCTCTTTGGTTTGTTTCTGCTTTTGATTTCTCATAGAAGAAACTATGTGATTTTTAAGACCATGGGTCTGATTTATTTCGCCTACACTGCAAACACTAGGAAGGAGTTTTCATCCACATTTAAGGTCTACCTGTGCTCTGAGCTCTGGACTTACACAGTTACTTCTCTCTTCTGTGCTACACTTGCTTGAAAAACAAAATCCAGAAGTCAGCTGCTATCCGCAGTAGGTGTGAGGATTCACATGTAGAAATAAAATTTATGTGTCCAGTGCACTACCCAACATGAAAGAGCTATAGAGCTGTTAAGAGATGTTAATATCGGAGTCAGTACCCTTGACACATAAACTATTTGCAGTTAATGTCCCTGGGAGAGGAAAGCCAAAGCTGAAGGGGACAGATCAGGGGCAAAACTTGCTTAATCTTTTCCTTTGTAGCACTAATGACAACTGTGAAGATACTGCTCTCACTTGGACCTTTTTGAAATTAGGATTTCAGCTGAACCATCTGTTTCATCTTCAAGCCATCATGAGTGGTCAGAAGCCCAGATCCCAGAAAGCAGACACAGAGAAAAATATGGAAAATGTGGACTTCTTTCCTCAGGTGCGTCTGCTGAGACTGTAGGACATGCTGATATTTGCTTGGCCATTGGTGGCCCTGGGTTGCATAGTCCTTCTTGCTGAGAAATGGCCTTGTTTATGGGTAATATTACACAAGTTAACATCTTTCTCTGTACTTTATTCTTTCTGTGTTGGTAGGTGGCAACTGTGATTAGAAAAAAAATGAGGACCAGAGCAAAGTAGCTTTTAACAAAAAGATATTGCAATACTTTGTGAATAAAAACAAAAAATAAAAGTTATTAGAGTAACCTGGAAAAAATGAAAAAGTTGAGAGTATTTTACTCTCAACTTTGAGGAATGCCTAAAAATGGCATTCCAACTACAGCTGATATATCAAATCATAATAAGCTGTATTTGAAAGACTTTGTGAAGTATGAAGCATGCTCTGTGTGTTTGTCTCTTCTGTCCATAAGCGCATTAGGCAGGCACATGAGATTTTATCTCCACCTTGCTTTTGAAAATCAAAGGGACAATGCAGTCAGGGTTCCAGTGCTGGAGTGAAGAGGTGAGCTTAAAGTTTACCAAGGTGAACACAGGGCTGCGTCTAATATCAGGGCTCTGCTCGTAGGTCCTTTCCTGAGTCAAAAATGCACCTTAATTAATCAAGAAGAAGGATGAGAAATGACATCTAGGCATCCAGGCATCTAGGAGGGCAGTTTCAAAGCTTTTAACCTGTCTTCTCTCCATCTTTTTCTAGAACTCTAAAACATCTGAGTATCTAGAAAACCCAAGGCAAGCTTTGGTCTACTTGTCTCTGGCATCCTGCTCCATGGCAGAGTGAACCCACAACTGTCTGTGTTTCCCTTCTTTCCCTTTCTCCCGCACCTCCATTGTCCCAGGAATTCTCCCAGGAGCTGGGGTCTCACAGTTCTCTCAGGGTGCAAAGAAGGATGCATCTAGCAGCATGGGCTGAAAGGAAGCTTTGAGAATATATATGCTTGGCCAGAGTAAATTGATATTACCTTATGTTCTTTTTTATCTTGGTACCCATGAATATTAATATTATTACAAAACAAGAAAATAAATTCAGCCTCATATGTGATCATGATGGTGCTGACCTCTGCCACACACTGACCTCAGGCTGGATCTCTACAGCACCCCTGGCCTTGAGATTCTCATCACCAGCAAACAGCATGGCCAGCAGACAAACCCAGGCCTGCGCCACTCTTGCCATGAGCAATGTGTCAGGGAGAGGGTACCTCTCAGACCTGTCAATCAGAGGTTCTTAGCTATCCATTACATTGTTGCTAGGTAATTAATTGCCATTATTCAATTCCTTCTCTCCACCCCTGGCTTATAAGATAACATCTTATACAAATGCAAATTCTGGGTTCAAAATTTAAGGAAAAAATGTATAGTCACATGGAAAAATATTAGACTAAGTACAGGAACATTGGCATTTACTTTATTTACTAGTCATTGTGTGATCCCAGAAAAGACATGGATAAAACTCTGTGCTGTGCCTCAGTTTCTCCATCCAAAAAGTAGAGAGAGTGAGTGAATTTTTTCCCATCTCATAGGACTTAGGGATGAAGTCATATCACACAGGAAGTAATCTCAGAATTTTACACAATAGATGACAGGTGAATTGAAGTATTTATTATTGCAAATAATTATGTTTTTGTGACCAAATAGTGTAGTAATGATTGTTTTGTTTAATGCTGAATGCCTCACAAAAAAACGCTATAGCTTATTCTTAGTGAATTCCATGTTCTAAGATGGAAAACCTTGGTGTAATATATCAATGTGCTTAACATATGTAAAAATTACATAGTTAAATTTGAGAAAGAGCATTGAAATACCATAAGGACGTTTGTAGATTTTTAAGCAATAAGGGGGAATACTTGTGTTTCTTCCCTAATGTTTGTCAGAAAAATTCGGCAGTTTTTCTTTGATTTATTTGACCTGTGTGACAGGAAACTCGGTTTATATTTTGGATCTCAGATTAAAAATAATTATATCTATCTACTTGCCTTTTAAGATTGTTTCTGAGTTTCTCAAAGTATCTTAAGGAGTGTCACATCAAAAAGAGAAATAGTACTCTAGGTTGCATTCACGCTTTTAAAATACATAACACTTATTTTTAGGTGCCCAAAGAACAGCAGCATGGTGTCGGTACTTCTCAAATGAAAGCAGAATCTAATGAAAAGAAAAGTACCCAGCATCAAGACAGCCATCTTCCTAAGAAAATTCCAAGAGATAAGACCATGTGGCCAAAGAAGATTTATGTTATCTTGGGGAAAAATGACAACATGAAATATGAGCTCACATATAGTGAGAGAGCCAGCTTATACGAGGCACTCAACACTCTTGAGGCTGTCAAAGAAAATGTAAAATCTCACCAAAGCAAAGAAATGTTGGTGAAGGGCACAAAAAGAATCACAGGGTACCTGAACCTCGCAATGCCCTTCAGTTGTATTCCTAATGAGGCCACTGTGAACGTTACTTTTTCCAAACGTGTAGGTGAACAGAAGGAAGGTAATCCAATATTTGGCCAACAAGACAGACCAAATACTGACTGTGTCAAATTTTATGTTTATGCAGTTGGGAAGACAATAAAAAGGATTGTTAAATATAAGGAGCTTCATGAAGCAGGAAATAAACTCTGTGTCTTTGGTTTCAAAGGCGAAACCATCAAGGAGGCTTTGTGCAAGGACCACAGATTTCTTCCTTTTCTGGAGAATAGCAACTGGAAACTCATCAGCAACAAGGATTCCATTATAGAAAACACCCAGGTAGTCGACGACATGGAGGGAAAGGTCGTTGAGATCACAATTGAAAAGAGAAGAAGCCCTAGGGTGGCCGCACAGAATTCAGAGTTAGAGCAGAGCAGGTTCCATGTGTTGAAAGAATACATTGTGGAGGAGTATCCCTGCTTGAAAAGAGAAAGGGAAAACTTCAGAGAAAACCTCAAGAAAGAAATGAAAGCAACAGGAAAAAAACAAACAACATTAGTTAATTTGCATAGAACAAACTTTGGGAAACAGACCAAAAATTCTACTCCTGTTAAAACAATCAAGCTCCTTTCACGTGTCAGTGACTCAGTTGGATTCTTACACTGGGACAATAATGGCAACGTGGGTACTGCTACCTGCTTTGTGTTCACAGGGCCGTACATTTTCACTTGTCGCCACGTGGTAGATCTGATCGTGGGGAGAGGAGTGGAGCTCAGGAAATGGGCAGACATAATCAGCCACTGTGCTCGGGTGACATTCAGTTATGAAGAGTTTGAATCAAAATACCACAACTCCTTTTCCATCGAGTCTTGGTTTGAGATATCTGATGTAGATCTGGACTACGCAGTCCTGAAACTCAAAGAAAATGGACAGCAAGTTCCTGCAGGACTCTACAATGGAATCGCCCCTGCACCAGCTAATGGGTTGGTGTATATTATTGGGCATCCTGAAGGAGAAAGGAAGTCCACTGATGCATGTGTCACGATTCCTCAGAGTGAGCGATCAGAGACCTGTGACAGAAATATGAGAGAATTAGTGCCTGAGCTTCAGTTTGCCCACATGTACACTCAAAACAGTTTCAGGGAAATTCTTCACAACCCTAATGTTGTTACCTATGACACCACTTTTTATTGGGGTTCTTCTGGCTCACCAGTGTTTGACTCCCATGGCTCCGTCGTGGCCATGCATACTGCTGGCTTCACTGAAAATTACAGAGAAAGGACTTTTCATATCATTGAGTTTGGCTCTGCGATGAAAGCCATCCTCTCTGATATTAAGCAGAAGCATCCAGTGTGGTATGAACAGGCGTGCGTAGATCAGCAGGAGGAAGAAATGCTGAGTCAGGAGTAATGAGGCTTGGTGTGCACTTACCTTGTGCAGTTGCCTTCCAAAGCAATGACTTCCAAAGTGGTCACTAACTTCCCAAGTGGTCAGTTGTAGAAACATTAAAGCAGTCGATATTGGAGACCAGCAATTTTTATAAACCCATAAAGAAATGAGTCCCATTGTAAAATGAAGCTTAAGTGTCAATTGCTTGCTAAGGTCCTTGTCCTCTTTTCTGGACTGTCAAAGGACAACAGCTCACCAAACAAAACTCACCTAGCTTTGTCTCCTTAGATCAGTCTGAGTGAAGTGTTTGACCCCTAGTGGGGCGTAGTCCATGCCTCATCTCTACCTGAAGCAGGTATAAGAAGACAGCCCTAAATCCCTTTGGCATCCTCAGAAGTAAGGGATCATAGTCCTAGAATTGGGAATCACGTAGAAGAGAAACAAAAAAGAAGATAGGAAGGAGACAAGGAAGATTATAATTTTAAGAAGAATGTGACTTCAAGACACAAATTTACCCAAGGTTATCCACACCTGCACACCTTGAGAGCTGTCAGAGTTTTCATGTTTTTAGGCAGTATGTTTAATCTTTTAAAACACATGTAATATACTGGACCCTGTATCTTTCTCATGTATAATAAGCCACTGTTTTCCCTGTGGGCAAGTCATCACTTCTTGCCTGCAATCCAAGCAATAGAATCACAAATTCCACTGCAAAAACATAAATATTCCCTGTTCTAGACTAAAATGCACCTCCTTTTTGAGGCTCCACATTCTATTTCTTGAGTTTGTGCTTTAAAATGCTGCCTCATAATCCCTTTATTTGTCTTTAAAAAATGTTAAATCATGTACCCAAGAAGCAAGTCCTCCTTGTGAGCTGACACCATGCAGGCAAGAATACGGGCAGCTGGGGGAAACAACCAGATGCCAGCCTTTTCCCGTGAGTCAGTGCCATTCATGGACTGCAGGGAAGGAGAACAAGAACACAATGAGAAATAAACCCTCCCTGTGAGTTAGCTCCATGCATGGGCTACTGAAGGAACAACCAGACACCAGCCCCTTCTGGTGCACAGGCTGGGAGACAAGAAGAGCCAGCCTCATAAGATGTGGAGAAACACAAACTGTGATGATAGCTATTGAGGTAAAATACAGCTTACTGCTTGTAGTGTTGAGTATTTTGCTTACTTTGTAAACCTAAAGCTCATCTATTCAGAGGACAACCATATGCAGTGCAGCATCTATGGGAGTATCTTTCTGCAGGTGGTAGCCATTGTTAATTCCCTATTGTCTTCTTTTGAAGCCCTTTATTGTTTTCATTGTTTTGTTTGTGTTCTGTTTGGTTTGATTTTTACTGTATCTGAAGGTATGAATAGCTATTTGGAAGACAACAAGAGGCATTATGATTAACATTGTTGATTTTCTAGTATCTTGTTTTTAAAGTCCTGTATCACTTACGTTTTCATGGGAATAAAACAAAAAAATCAATTCTAACAATTCTATCAGTAAGTTATTGTCCATCTTAAAGTAAGCAATACGAATTGTGGTAAGATTAATGATCAATTTTATGATAAGAAACATCATGTAATTTAATTTTTTCATCTTCAGTTACTTCTCCTAAATTTACTTACTTCAGATGAACTACTGAAATTTGCTCATCTAATTATCCCTAATATCTGGGTCTTTACAAAAATGTGTGGGCCCACCAGAAGTGGAACTTGGGGCTGAAATTCCTGCCTCCTGAAGAAACAAATAGTTCTTAGGAGGAGATCACTGTCAAAACCCTGATTTCCAAAATCTTCCATTTACTAAAATGGTCAGAATACAGGTATCCTAAAGTCACGGGTCACAACTGCTCTTCTTTGCTTATAGTCCATGAGCGGAAGGAAGATGTCTTTAAAGACCTGTGCTGCTTTCTTCAGATTTCCTTTGTTTCTCCCTGATTTCCTTTTTTCTGTTCCAAGATCCCACCCAGCATTCCCATGAAGTGTCATTGTCCACTCTCCTTAAGATCCTGGCTCTGACAGTTCCTCAGCTGTCTTGTGTTCGATGACCTTGGTATCTGGGAAGAGCACAGTGGGGTGGTTTGTAGTCTGCCCCATTTCTGGATTTTGTCAAAGGATTTGCTGACGATTGTACTCCAGTGGGCTCTGGCAGGCAAGAATACGGGATAAAATACTATATTGGCCATAACCTATCAAAGCCCAGACTGTAACATGATTCATGACCTTTGGTGTTGATCTTGATCACCTGGGGTTGCAGTGTTTGTCAAATGTGAACCAGAGTCTCCCTGGTCTTGCCCAGCCTGCATGTGTGACCTTCTGGTGCGTGGCCCTCCAGACATCCTCCACCCACAATGACCCTCCCACCCGCCAGCCCTCTGTGGAGCGTCAGCCCACATTCTACCACTGGGCTGCAGCACTGGAGCCAAGATGTTTAAGCAATAAAATGTTCATTTCCATCTGTTTTTCCTATTCATTGAAGGTGTGCTCTCCATATTAATCAGTTTAAGCAAAGCACAGAACATTTGTGTATGAACTTGCATACATATACACATAGCTATCATAGAAGTAACCTTCTGTTTCTATAGTAAATAAAGGAGTCTTCGCTGATGTCCTCCACTATAATCAATAACCGCACAGATCACTTAGCTTCCTCCACATGCTGATCTGCAAATCTACACACCAGGTGTGGGAAGCCTGGCTGCTACATCCCTCAGTCATTTTGGGGGGGGGTGTTATTTAAAACATGCATATCAGTCAGGGATTTGTTAAATGTACCCACAAGGCAAATAACTTTTTTTAAAGTTTTTTCTTTTTGAGTCTGAAAGGGTCTAACTATGCAGTTCAGGCAGACCTTGAACTCTCTTGGTAGGCCAGCCTGGCCTAGAAACTACAGGGATACTCCTTCCTCAGCCTCCCTAGTGCAAGGGTTGTACACATGTACTATCACAGCTGGAAAGATAACTTTCTCAGTCAATTGCAATATCATGCTGTGTGCAATTTCTTTTGGTCTTTACTCCTATGCACTCCATTTCTTCCCAAAGGTACTTGGCTCAGGACACTTTCCCTCATCCTCTTTAGTGAGATTGTTTCATTGATTTTACAACACAATTATGCATGTAATATATTTGGATTTTTGTCTTACATCCTATATTCATTCACTAATTTTTCCTTTGCTAATACTCCTCTTAAATAAAATCTTAAATTTGTATACAACAGATCCACTCTATAGCTTGTAAAAGTCTATGGGCTTGCTCTACATCCACCTCCCCATCCCGGCTGCACTTGGAGAACTGTGGAGTTTCCAATAGGTGGGCGGGCACACGCTATTCCCAGAGCCCAGCCAGTTTGGCACTTCCGAACCTCCCTATCAGTGTGCAGAGGAGGGCTGGATGGATCTGGGGCACCTGCATCAGCATCCCCGTGTGTTTGGAGGACTGTGGATGTCTCAGCGGGCAGTGGAGCATTGCAGGTTCTGGAAGCCCTGTGGCCTGTGGTGAGTGTTGAGCACGCTCTGACCAAAGCCCAGACTGTTCAGGACCCTCCAAGCTTCTGGGTGCAGTGAACTGGAGAAGTGTGTTTGAGGCCTCTACATCTGCCTCCCCATCCCAGCTGCACTTGGAGAACTGTGGAGCTTCCAACAAGTAGGCAGGCACACGCTATCCCCTGAGCCCAGCCTGTTTGGGACTCCCATACCTCACCATTGGTGTGCAGAGGAGGAGCTGGGCAGATCTGGGGTGCCTGCATCAGCCTCCCTGTGTGTCTGGAGGAATGTGGATATCTCAGCAAGCAAGAGAGGATCGCAGGTACCAGAGGCACCGCCACCTGTGGTGAGTGCTCAGCGCACTCTGCCCAAAGCCCAGACTGTTTGTGTCCCTCCAGGCTTCTGGGTGCAGTGAAGTGGAGAGGTGGGTTTGAGGCGTCTACATCCTCCTCCACATCCCGGCTGTGCTTGGAGAGCTGTGGAGCTTCCAACGGGCAGGTGGGTGCACAGTGACCCTGAGGACCAACTTATCTGGAACTGCAGAGTTCTGAACAGGCAGAGGAGGGCCATTGGTTGTGCAGGCCCAGTGGCTTGGGGTAACGGGGTGCCAGAGTCTCAGGAGCTGGGAACATAGAAGGGCATTTCCAACAGACCCTGAGGAAGCTTTCAAATAACACTTAAAACACAGAAATATAGGAAAATGACAAAACGAAACACCAAATTACAAACTCAAACCTCCAGCCCATCTCAAGAAACCCTAGGAGCAATGTATATAGAAGAAAATATATGCCATTCACCTCAAATATCGGACACAATAGCTACTGAAATTAACAAGCAACTCCAGGAAGCTTTAAAGAAATTCAAACTCGAAATAATCTCCCAGGTAAAAGAAGAAATGATAAAAGAAATGAGAGAGATTCTGAATATATCTAAAGAAAACACAGATAAAAAAAATGCAGGAACTGAACAAAAAGATAGAATCCCTAGACAAGCAATATAAGAAACAAACAGAACACATAATGCAGATGCACAGAGATATACAGGAAATAAAAAGCTCCACTGAAAGTTGTAAAAACCGCCTTAATGAAAGTGAAGATAGAATTTCAGACCTCGAAGACAGGATTGCAGCTAGTGAACAGGAAAGGAAAGATCTTTTGAAAATAACAAGGAACCAGGAAACAACAATTCAACAACTGCAAGACGATGCAAAGAAAAATAACATAAGAATGATAGGGATTAATGAAAAAGGAGACAACATAAAGGATGTCAAGAGGATATTTAGAGAAGTAATAGCTGAAAACTTCCCAAGCATTGGATCAGAAACTGACATCAGGTTCAGTGAAGCATACAGAACTCCAAATAGTCATAACCAAAATAAAACTACACCCAGACATATAATAATCACCATCCCAGAAATCCAACACAAGAATAGATTATTAAAAGCTGTCAGATAGAAAAGAATAGATTATTAAAAGCTGTCAGAGAGAAAAGACAGATCACTTATAAAGGAAAACCTATCACCATCACAGCAGACTTCTCAGCACAAACAATAAAGTCAAGAAGAGAATGGAGTGAAGTCCAACCTAGACTGATGTATCCTGCAAAACCACCATTCAAAATTGATGGTGAAATACCATACGTCCATGACAAAGAACAGCTGAAGAACTTCATGAACACCAAACCAACCCTGCAAAAAATATTGAAAGATAGTTTAGATACACAAAGGAAAAAACTACTAAGCAAAGCAGATAATTAAACAGAACAGAAAGATAAAGATGCAACAGCAGAGAGATAACATGTCAACAATAAACCACCAATTAACAGTAATAACCACTAATGTAAATGGTCTCAATGCACCAATCAAAAGAAACACACTAGTGGAATGGATCAAGAAACAAAATCCAACCATATGCTGTTTACAGGAAACCCATCTAACCCAGAAGGATACTCACAGACTGAAAGTCAAAGCATGGAAAACAACACTTCATGCAGCAGGAATCAAAAAAAAGGCAGGAGTAGCCATTCTGGTTTCAGACAACGTGAACTTTAAACCAACAATGATGATAAAGGACAAAGAATGTCACTACATACTCGTAAGGGGAAAACTCCAAGAGGAAGAGATAACTATCTTAAATATATATGCACCAAACTCCAGAGCACCCAGTTATATAAAACAACTATTAACAGAAATGAAAACTCAAATTATCAGGAACACAATTGTAACAGGAGACCTTAATATGCCATGGACACCAAGGGACAGATCAACCAGACAGAAAAGAGCAAGGAAATAACAGAACTGAATCACACCTGCGAACAAATGGATTTGATAGACATATACAGAATGTTCCACCCAACAACATCAGAATACACATTCTTCTCAGCAGTGCATGGATCATTCCCTAAAATAGACCATATATTAACTCACAGAACATATTTAAATGAATGCAAAAAAGTTGAAATCATCCCTTGCATGTTATTGGATCATAGTGCTCTGAAATTAGAAATTAATGATAAAAGATACTGCAAAAATCTGGCAAACACATGGAAACTGAATAACACACTCGAGTAATCAGTGGGTCACAGAAGAAATTGAAGAAGAAATTAAACAATACCTAAAAGAAAATGAAAATGCAGATACAACTTACCGGAATTTGTGGGATGCAATGAATGCCGTCCTCAGAGGAAAATTTATTGCACTGGTGCTGGAAAAACTGGCTCTCCATTTGCCGAAAACTAAAGCTAGACCCATGTCTATCACCATGTACTAAATTAAAATCTAAATGGGTCAAAGATCTGAATATTAAAACAGAAACACTAAATCTATTGGAAGACAAATTGGGTAGAAACCTTGAAGACATAGGAGTAGGTAGAGAATTCATGAACAGGACTCAAACCGCACAGGAAATACTTCCCAGAATCAATAACTGGGACCACTTCTTATTAAAAAGTTTCTGCATGTCAAAAGAAATCTCCAGCACAGTGAAAAGAAAACCCTCAAACTGGGAAAAGATTTTAGTGAACTCTCTCACAGACAAGGGACTCTTGTCTAAAACATATAAAGAATTTAAAAAACTCAGACCCCCAAATTTCAAAGATCGAATTCAAAAATGGGCATCTGAGAAGAATATGCACTTCTCAGGTGAAGAAATACAAATAGCACATAAATACATGAAAAAATGTTCATCCTCATTGGTCATTAGAGAAATGCAAATTAAAACCACACTGAGATTCCATCTCACTCCTGAAACAATGGCCAGGATCAAGAAAACCAACAACAATAAATGCTGGAGAGGCTGTGGGGAAAAAGGAACTCTACTACACTGTTGGTGGGAGTGTAGACTGGTGCAGCCTTTGTGGAGGTCAGTCTGGAGATTTCTCAAAAAGCTGGGATTGGAAGTCCCATTTATTCCAGCTACCCCACTTCTAGGCATATTCCCAGAAGAACTGAAAGCATCATACCACAGTGAATATGTGCACCTATGTTTATAGCAGCACAATTTGTAATCACCAGATCTTGGAAACAACCCAAGTGTCCATCAACTGAGGAATGGATTAAAAAGTTGTGATATTTCTATACAATGGAGTATTATTCAGCTATAAAGAAGGATCACATTGAGATATTTATCAATAAATGGGGGCAGCTTGAGACCATACGCATAAGTGAAATAAATCAATCTCACATGTGTGAATACTGAATAGTTTCCCTAATGTAGGTAATGATTCAAATATATAAAAATATGTGGTAATCATGATTCCCCATTATGTGGCATGGAAGCCTTCTAAGGTTTTCACTTATGAATTGGAAAGGCTATATTCTGGGCTTCTTGATATGGAAATATTTGAAGCTATAGTATATGAAGTTTTATTCAAATATTTCAAGGAAAAAGACAGACACTATGGTAACTACTGTTAAGTTGGGTTATTTGGTGGTTAAGCATTAGGTTGCTGAAACAGTCGTGCTTTGACCTATATTGT